ATATTAAAAACTTTTAGGAGCACTTGGCTGGCTCTTTTTTTAATTGTATTTTTGAGAGAGAGGGAGAGAGAGGGAGGGAGAGAGAGAACGAATGAACAAGCCAGGGGAGGGGCAGAGAGAGAAAGAGATGGAATCTGAAGCAGGCTATAGGTTATGAGCTGCCAACGCAGAGCCCCGTGCCTTGCTCGAAATCACAACCCATGAGATCTTGACCTGAGCAGAAGTCAGATGCTTAACTGACTAAGCCACCCAGGTTCCCCTGAGCATGCAACTCTTGATCTCAGGGTCACAAGTTCAAGCCCCCTCTTGGGTGTGGAGATTACTTAAAAATAAAATCTTAAGAAAAAAAATTAAAAACTTTCATTTTTTAAGTTTTTAATGTTTTTATTTTATTTTTGAGAGAGAGACAAGAGTGCAAACAGGGGAGGGGCAGAGAGAGAGGGAGACACAGAATCCGAAGCAGGCTCCAGGCTCTGAGCTGTCGGATCAGAGCCTGACGTGGGGTTAGAACTCACAGCCCGTGAAATCATGACCTGAGCCAAAGTTGGACGCTTAACCGACTGAGCCACCCAGGCGCCCCTAAAAAATTTTATAACAAGATGAAAAATTAAAAGACACATAATAAACTGGTAGAAAGGGTTTTGGGTTCTTTTTTTTTTTTTTTTTTTTGGCTACATATTAAGATCATGTAGAGTACATCAAAAAGAAACAAATACCAACAGAAAAATAGTCATAAGTACAAACATGCCAATTATAGAAGAAAAGTGAAAAAGACCAATAAAAAAATATAAAAGGATACTTAAACCTCTATAGTAATAAAGGAATTGCGAATAGAGAAATATTTAAGAGCAGGCCCTGGAGTCTGAATGCCTATGTTTGCACCCTGGCTATATAATATTATACAAGTAACTCAACATCTCTGTGCCTCTCATCTGTAACTGAGGAGAATATCTAACTCATAAGAAAAAAGAAAGATAATATGAATAGTATTCAAAATAATGCCTAGTACATAGTAAGAGTTCAATAACGTGCTATTTAATGTTATTATTAGCATTACCAGGATTGGTGAAGGTCTATTCCTACAGCTGGTAAAAGCAAATTAGCAAAGCCTTTTTTGAAGGCAATTTGGCAGTATGTATCAAATTTTTAACATATACATACCATTAGACCCAGAAATTCCACTGCTACAGATTTATCTAAAGAAATGTTTCCATATGTATACAAAGATAGCAGTCCAGTACAGCAGTGTAGGAGCTCTGTGTTTTGAGACAGGAAATGCTGGTTCTAGTTTCAGTTCTGCCAATAACAAATCATGTAACTGCTATGCAAAAATCACTGCACCATTTCAATTTTTTTTTTTTTTTTAGTTTATTACTTCATAAAATGTGGATGAGGACTTGCTCAATCTGCCTCAGAGGAATACTTTAAGGATGTTGTTGCCGAGTGCAGCCCCTGGACCAGCATCATCTAGGAACTTGTTAGAGATACAAAACACCTTTCAGTTTCACAAAAAGTTACATTTTGGATAATTATCTGGATATGCTCTCCTGTTGTTAAACTTGAGCTTTAGAAAGCATCCATGTATAGCTTCGAAATCAAACTCATATATGAAATCAAATACTAAATACAAGTATTTTAGGTCAAGGATAAAAAGCTCAAGGTAACCCATTTCACAATCAAGCAATGTTTCAAGCACTTAAGTTCCAAGATTTCTGATCAGAGGTTTTCATAAAGGGAATACTGTTTTAATGGTAGCCTCTGTCAGCATTTTGTCTAATAATTCTTGATCTTTTTCTGATCTTTTTTGGTAGGCACAAAAATAGCCACCTATTTGATACGTTGTTTGGCATATACCAATAATGCTAGAAGACCCCTTGCTTAGTGGCCACCTCTCAGGGATTGAATGTTGGCCCTCGAAACATAACATAGGCTCCCATATTTTTCAGAAATTCTAATTTCTCTTTTATTAAAAAAGTATGTATAGACTCTTAAAGGGCATGTAACTTCTCATGATTATTTGAGAAGTCTGATTTAAGACTCCTGAAATTTGATCCTATGATGCTCTGGGTTGCTCACATATTTTTTTCTAGTAGGATTTAAGCTTATGGCAGGGACTATTCTTAGTTTCTGGAGTGAATTTAATCACTTCTTAATGTTCTTCATTGATACTTCAAAATTAACCCCCTATTTGGTGAGTTTTATGCAATGACAAAGGGAGACCATAATCTAATAATGATGATATAATTTCCAGTAAAATACAGTAATACCCTAGTTATTCTCTAATTTCATCTATATATAACAGTTGAAACTCAAGAAATTAGTATGAACCTGTGAAAGCACCAAAAAGGTATCTAAACACCATACTCCAAAGGTCATGAACTTTCTCCATTGGAGAGCCCCAAGGATCTCAGTCTGTTATGCTAGCCTTTTTCCTCTGACACAATTCTCATAGCATTTGTTACTTGGTTTCTAAACCCACAGCAAATCCCAGGCAGCAAATAAGAACAGAATAAAAATTCATGAGTGGGTTCTCAGCAGTGACAAGAGAATTATCTGGCTAAGAGTACACTTGTGTCAAGGTATCCCCTTCCCCAAACATACACTTCAAATTTTTTTTTGAGTCAGTCTCCACTTATGATCCTAAATCTTAATCTTTTAGTTACTCCCACTAGTCGCTATTTATATATCTGGCACCACCAGGGAAATGCTCACACCAATTGAGCTTTACATTATCAAGCCTTAGAAATAATAACTTCCCTTTAGGAAAGAGATTAACTTTTTATAAGATCACATTAGAGAATCTAATTTTAAAAATATATTTATCTACACAACATTTTCATATGACCTTAAGGAGTTCACTTTTTTTAAGTCTATATTTATTTTGAGAGAGACAGCACAAGTGGGGAGGAGGGAGGGAGGGA